GTATCTCCCAGGCAGCATGGGGGCGCTCTGGAGGCAATCCAATCACCCTCCACTGACAGAAATATGTACCAGGGGTTTAGGGTTAGTGTCAGCAGGGAGTTAGCGAACTCCCTAACTCTCTAGTGGCTCCCAGGAGGGTGGTGTCTAGCAGGAGAGGGTCGTGCTTACAGGGTCATGAGCTAAGGTGTCTGGGAGGAGGTGACATGGAACAGGAAGGGGTGAGGGCAGAGGACAGAGCATCCCAGGAAGAGGGGATGCAGGTGCAGGGGGCCTTGCTTGGGTCGAGGAACACAAAGAAGGTCAGCTGGCTGCAGCAGAGAGAGTGGGGGTAGCAGGGTGGGCCTGGGGAGGTGGGTGGGGTGGGTCACAGCTCTCTTTTGGGGGGGTAGGTGCCCCACCAAGTCTGGAGTAGAGGAGCCCAGCCAGCCCAGCCATGTGCTCTGAGCCTACAACAGAGGAAACTGATGAGTCTGGGGCTCAGGGGACACCTGAGATGGCTGAGTGGAGTAGACCAGGTATCACCGAGTGATTTGGGAAGCAGAGAACTTTCCAGACAACAGGATAGCTTGTGCAAAGGTCTTGTGGAGCCAGGTTGGAGGACCTTGGAGGACTGGGAAGGCCCCAGTGGGGTTGGTGAGGGGGGAGGGTGCCGGCTGGAGGACACTGAGCAGCGGGGAAGGCAGAAGCCAGGAGTGAGGCCAGCTCCCTCCTAAACACAGCGAGTGGAGGTGGGACGTGTGTTTTCCCAGTGCTCTGCAGCGGGTGAAGAAGGGCTGAAGAGGTGCCACATGCCCGCCCCAAGGACCAGGCGGGAGTGGTGGGACCCGGGCCCAGGGGCTGACTTCAGAGCGACTCAGGAGGGCAGAGCTCTGCACTCTTGGTGACAGACCTGCACTGGCATTTACAGGCCCTGGGAAGGGTTACAGAGTGGAGCCTAGATGCCACATGTCCAAATTGTTGAAAGTTCTCAGTCAAGCTGGCAAGATGTTACATGAGACACGTCCTGTACTCCGACACATGCTCTCTCACAACCAGATTAGAAGTGAGGACTCTCAACTCCTGGCCCTGCACCGGCCAGGTCCCCTGCAAACAGCTGCTTTCTCGTGGGCACCCTTGGGGACTCAGGGTGCTCACGCCAGCAGTGCGGTCACCCTTGGGAGCCATGGACCTGCGTGGGGGGTGGAGGTGAGCTGGGGGACATTTGGGCTGGGAATTCCAGGATCCCCAGAGCTGGATCCAGGAGGGTGAGTGTCACCTGGCCCCACTCACTTCTGGTGCTGGGCAGACGACTGGTTCAAGGAGGGCCAGACAGGAGCCCTTTAAAATTCGGGGCCAGAGCAGGTTCACCTCTTGCCAGGGTCAGGGACAGGGCGGTGCTGTCATGCTGGGCTGGACTGAACGGACAGTGGTGGGCTTGAGCTACCGTCCTGGCTTCGGAACAGAGGGCGGCTCATTCACAGAGACAGGGGACTCTGGAAAGAACAAGTTTGGGGACAATCATAGGCTTGGCTCAAACATGTCCAGTTACCTTAGGGACACCCTAACATGGATGCCATGTTAAGTTTTGGGGTTTGATGCTCAGAGGAGAGGTCTGGCCTGGTGACAGGGTCTCTGTAGAACAGACCGAAGCGGAGGCTGTGAACCTGGACTAGAGGCTGGGGAAAGAGGACCAGGGAGGGTAGGACTGGGGCATTAAGGAGAATTTAAAGGGTGGAGGCTGAGGATGCCAAGGAGGACAATGCAGCTTTATCACAATTATAGTTACAATGCCAGGCGCACAGACCCAAGCCCCCAGAAGGCAGAATGTCCCCCACTTGGGGCATGGAATGAATGAACAACCCCACTGGAAGACCCTGGAACCTCTGGGTGGAAGGAGGAGGTGTCTCAGATAAGGAGAGTTTGTGTAAATAGAAAATATTTGCTTGAGAAAGAGCTAGGGGTTGGGAGCCAGCTGGGGGGCTTCCCTTCTCCCCCTCCTCCAGAGGTGGTCTGGAATTCCTTGAGGGGGGAACCGTGCTCTCCTGGCCCTCCCAAGTCACTTTTTCAGAATTAATGAAGGTAGAATCGTGCAGTGAACGTGTTCTTTTAGAAAGTAACAAAACACGCAGGGAATTCTCTAAACCAGCCTTGCAAGTTGTGGCAGGAGTGGCGGTCGTAGGGGAAGGCGGAGCCTCGGGAGGACCTGGAGGCGCCGGCTTCACTCTCCGCTCCGCAATCCGAGATCAACTGAGCCATTTGCTCACAAGGGCTGCGAGTTGCTCCGGGGACCCTGAGAAGGACAAAGATGAGCATGACTCAGGGTTTAAAACCTCTGTTTATGCATCACCTGGTAAGCACCAAACACGTACTATCATGTCCTCGGATCCCCGCAGACAACCTGAAGCACATATCGCTGTCCGACCCCCTCCATTTCGGGGATGGGCAACTCACCCACGGTCACATCCTGGGACCCCAGCCCAGGCAGGATGGCAGCCAGCCCAGAGCCCTCTACTCAGGTCTTCTCCTTGGCCGGAAAGCTTTGTCTCCTCCCCGCAGGAGGATGCTGGAGTCGGCTTCCCAGCCCTTCCCGCCACAGGGTCCTTTGCTTGTCTGCCAGGTCGGGGTGTGGTGCTAAGTGGCCCCCCGTGGAGAAGGGCACAGCCTGAGGATGCTGGCTGCAGGGGTCACCTATTTAGATTTGCTCTCAGGGGGTCCAGCAGGAGCAAACCGGACCCTGGAGCTCTTAGGAAGAGGGGCCTCCCCTGCCCACCTGCATTCCCTGGCCTGTCAGCTTCGGCCCCCGCCCCGCCCTGGGGCTTCACCTGCTGAAAACCAGCGTCGTGCCCACTACAGTGTCTGTGGCTGCCCTGCGCCTTACGCCCAGGGTCTGTGCTGAATGATTTCTTCCGGGCCGCACTGAGCACCTCGCCCACGCAGGCACTTTACGGGGTTAATTAATGTTGTCCCATTAATCCTCACAACATGCACCTCCCAAGTCTGAGATGCAAAACTTGCCCTACTATTCACTTCATATTTTTCTTAAATTGGTCCACTTTTCTTTTGACCTAAAACGTATTTAAAAGTGAAACTTTAAGTTCCTTTTATACTTGGAAATGCCAGCCTTACCCGCCAGTGACCAGCGACCAGGAACATAAATGGCTAGTGCTCTCCTGTAACCCCAGAGGGTCCAGGACCTGCCTTCACTGGTCTGTTTCCCTTTCACCGATGGGGCACCGCCTCTCCCAGGACAGCAAGGAGCCCGGGATTCCAGCCGGGTCCCCGCAGCCCTGCTGTGGTCTCTGTCCCAGTCCCTGACAGCTGGGGACTGGCTATTTTGGCCACCCTGGGCTCTGGTTCCAGGGCGCTGGAGCCCCGTGCTGATGCTGCAGCAGGCACTCCATAAATATTTGCCGGTGAAGCACACAGATGATTAAATAAATGAAATTGGAGTGTTTTATTACTTGAGTGGTGTGGGCTGTTAGTCACCCGCGGCTGCCAGGCTGTGTGCAGGTGAGACCAGAGAGACTTGAGGGAGGCTGGTGCCTCGCTCGGGCTGAATCACGGAAACAGGGCGCATGATTCATTTTCTAGTCAATTCGTTTTTTCCCCACCAAAATAATGACTATGTGTATTTTCAGGTTACCTTTAGGTATTTAAAACTTCAATTATTTTTAAAAGGTGAGTTTAAAATGTTAGTTACATTTGCTACAAACAAGCTTAAAACAGCCATTTGCCCACTCCAGCTTCAAAGAGACCAATTTTAATTTCAAGGGCAGGTGGGGAAGGACGTGGCTGCCTGGTCTGCCCAGGAGCCCCCCGCCAGCAGGCACTGTCACGTTGGGACCTGTGGGCAGGCCCCAGAGAGGAGCTGGGTGGGGGTGGGGAGGGGCTGTAAAATAAGATCATCCCGCGCCCAGGGAAGGCAGGAAGGCACGCCTGCACAGGGGAGGGCTGAGGCTTCCAGACTAGGAGCGACCCCTCTCTTCTGGTGACTAACACAAAAACACAGTTACTGTTGTTAAAACGCTCTCTCCTTTACTTCCCTGTCCCACCGGCATTATTCATCTCATTTGACCCAGAATAAGCCTGCAGGCACTATCCAGTAGTCAGGAATGAGTGTTTTTGAGGTGTGGGAATGTGTGATACACTTCCGCCTCTGACCCCAGATGTCTTCCCAAGGCTGGGAATTCTGCCCCCTCCCCAAAATTTATCTTTCCTCTTCAAACCATCTGTTCTACCTGTAAAATGAACTGTTCTGTAGGAAAGGACGGGGCAACACCTGCTGTATCTGAAATGGACTTTAGATTTGCTGTTGGAGTAATTAAAATTAAAAAAAAAAATGACTTCCTAAGAGGAAACTGGTGTAAAAAAGCTAGGCATGAATCTGCAGGGATTTAATGCTCGGTGAAAAAAACCAATTTCAAAAGATGAGGTCCTGCATGGGTCCTACATTAAACATAACATTTTTGAAATGAAACAATTTTAGACATAGAGGAAAGGTTAGCGATGCCAGGCAGGGCCTGGGGGTGCAGTTATAAAAGGGCGCTGGAGGGGCTTGGTGGTGGGGGACGCAGGAACCTACACAGGTGATAACATCGTGCAGAACCTAATACGCGCAAACGGGGACAGTAAACTCGGGGAAATCTGAATGAGACTGGTGACCGTATCGAAGTCAATATCCAGGTTGTGCAATTATACTGTTCTTGGTAAAGTTTTGCAAAGGGATAGCACTGGAAAAAACCGGGCAAAGTGAATTATTTCTTACAACTGCGTGTGACTGTACAATTATTTTTTAAAAAACAAAGAGAAGCCGGCCAGCTGACGCGCGCGTCGAGGCCCTTCCCACGCTGCGCGCGCCCCGGGGAGAGCGCGGGCACCCGCGCGTCCGCAGGTCTGTCTGTCTGCAGACACCGACCGGGCGCCGGGGGCGGGGCCTGCGGGGCGGAAGTGACGGCGCGCGGGGCGGGGCGGCGCGCACCTGGGCACCTGGGCGGCCGCGGCGGCGCCGGGAGGCGGCGAGACGCGCGCGATGGAGGGCGACGGTGGGAGCCCGTGGGCCCTGGGGCTGCTGCGCACCTTCGACGCGGGCGAGTTCGCGGGCTGGGAGAAGGTCGGCTCGGGCGGCTTCGGGCAGGTGTACAAGGTGCGCCACGTCCACTGGAAGACGTGGCTCGCCATCAAGTGCTCCCCGAGCCTGCACGTCGACGACAGGTCAGCGGCCGGTGGGGGCGCTGGGGCGGGCGCGGGGGCCCGACCAGGGCTGCAGTTTGATTCGGGGTCCCCCTCTACCCTGGAGCCACCTCCGGGGCAGCCTCGGGGGAAACTAGACGCCGGGCGGCCGCGAGCCCCCGGCAGCGTCTGCTCCGCTGGGCGGGTCGGACGGACGCGGCGGCGCTTTGGGGAGCTCCGGGTCTGTTGCGCGTCGGGGCCCGGGCGTGGGGCCCCGTGGGGGATCTCGGGTCGCTGTGGGGTGCCCCATCGGACTACCTGAGCCTCCCGCGTGGCCTGGATTTCCAGGGTCCCGAGCTCGCCCCGCTCCGTGGACCGGCGCCGTTTGGAGGCGCATCCGGCCCGCCCGGGCCCCCCTGGGCGCTGCGGTCTGCACCCGGCTTAGAAAAATTGCCGTGCGGGCTCCTGGGCTTTGTGAGTGGAGTTACACTCCGTCCCACTTACTCAGTAATTTGCGTTGGAGCACAAATTGGTGTAAGACCGTAATTATTTCGGTCGGAAGCACCGGCTTGGCTCGGGCGAGGCTTTCTCAGCGCCCCGGCGCTTGCGCGTTGGTGCTGCCGGGCTGGGGCCGGCCCGTGGGGTCGGGCGGGGGCGCGGGGTCCGGTTCGCCTCGCGCTCCCTCGCCGCAGTCTCGTTAGCCGACTTCAATTCGAAACCCAACCTCTGCGGAAGCGGCCTGCGCCGACCCGCTCTGTGGCCGCGCCGCGGGGCCCTCCTGCGCCCGTCCCGGTCCGAAAGCCCGGAGGGAACCTGCCTGTCCCTCCCCAGCAGGGCGCTCGTTAGTGGAGACGAGAGCCACCCCGGTTAAATTCGCAGGGTCGATTGTGGTGTGTGCATAATTTTGGGGGTAGGAAGAAGATTCTTGAAAAGCAACTTTTTTTTTTTTTTTGAATTTCACCGTTTATGGTTCAGTTTTAATAGTTTGTATGTATTCTTCAATTTAGCACATTTTAGTCATTTATCCTTCAATGAAACTTGCATACTACATGAAGCTACGTTTTGTGTTACCTTAAGCGGTCAGCCCTGAAAACACACACACACAACCCCCAAAAAACAGTTCCTTTTAAACCCCACCTAGCCTTTGCTGCCTGAGAGACCTGTTGCAAATGCTGGCCTGACCCAGCGATTGGGCCTCTGAGCCCCAGCTTTTCCAAAGAATGGTTGTGACGCCTGTGTCCAGGTGGCATTGTTGCCGCCCATGCCCGGTAACTGTTGTGCCTCTGAGGCTAAGAGGCCCCAGTTCACTCCCTTGGCTGGGAGACTACAGAGTAGAGCTGTTGGTGGCTTTTTGCTGTAACCCTCAAACCCAGGGTTTCTTGGAAACCTCAGGAGAGTGGCGACTGGTGTCAAAACTACTAGTTCAAGGTGAGATGCTTGCTGAGGCTGAGCCCAGACCCTGGGAACTTCTCAGGCCGGGAGGGGCTCTGGCTGTTTTGATGAAAACCAAACCACTTTGATTACCAGCCAGTGGTTAGATTCTGAAAGCTTAGACCCTCTCGGTAGAAACATTTTTATGCTCTTGGGGGCGTTTGTCTGATGCAGTCTCCTAGTCCAAGTGAGTTTTATTCATCAGCAAAGATTTTAACACCAACTTCTAGTATTGGAAGAGCAGAGTAAACAGGCACGTCCCCAGGCTGACTCATCAGCCTGCATCCGTAGAATCTGTTATTTCCAGCGACCGGTCCCTTGTTTCTTGGGTGGCCTAGTTCAAGGTAGGGTTTCTCCACTTGAGGCGGGTCACTTAGGATATTGCATAGCCTGGTTGAAAAGTGTTTTGTCCTTTAACTGGAAGCCTTTCCTGCCCTGCCCATGCGGGCAGGTGGTGGCTTGTTTTGGGCGGCTAGGTGGAGGTCAGCTGTAGCAGGAAGCGTTTTCACCTCCTGCGCTTTGCTGGGCCCCGTAGAGCAGGCTGGAGTTTTGCGTTTGCAGCAGTGGTTAATTTCTCTGATTGAAAAGATGGTCAAAACCCTTGCTCTTTGCAAAGAAGTTGACTCCTTCGGGTTAATCATTGACTGTATTCAGCTTGAGGTTCTTGTTAGGAATGTGTGTGGGTGTTGCTGTGGTCTAGGAGGAGCTGGGTCTTGCAAGGTTGCACCTAAGCCCTGAGACAGTCGTGCTACTCAAGTGTTTCAGTGCTCTTTTGATGAGTTGCCTGCTACCCGAGCCCCCGTATTTGCAAGGTGTTCCCTGGATTAGGGAATAGGATTTTTCTGGGGTCTCTGTGTGCAGTCCCCAGCCCTGTACCCCTTCTGGCTAAGTCTTGTCTCACCTGTTTGAAGGATGGCACCTCTCACCCCTGCAGCATGGGTCTGGGCCTTTTTCCAGGATGGTTGGAGTTGTTTATGGCCCTCTCCACTTGTCGCATAGGGCCCCGCCACAGGTACAGATGTGGGCCAAGCCGATTTTCATTGGCCAGGGCTGCTTGCCCCTCAAGGTGGGCTGGGGGCTCCCGGCTCCCTGTGGCTGCCCTGGCCCCAGCCTTTATCACCCCCTGGCTGCATCTGGCCCACGATCCCTGGCACCTGCAGGGGCTTCCCCGAGTCATGGCTGCCCAGCCACGTGAGCATGCATTTCTGTGCCGGAAAGGCCTCCCTGGGGGCCCACTCCGGTAGTTCACAAGTGACCCCCATTGACCTGAGTTCCCCATTGTAGGGGCCTAGGGTGGAGTGTAGGGGTGGGTGCCGCTACCAGTTTGGAGAGAATAAAGTGACCCCAAAGGCCCGTTCTTCCTCTGGCAGCCCCCAGCTATAGAGGAGGCTCAGAGTAGCAAAGCGCTTGGCCCGGGAGCAGCTCATGCGTTCCGCACCGGCTAGTCGGGGCGAGCCTGAGCAAACCCCGGGTTTGTAACTACAGAGCTGACAATCGGACAAGCCCGTTTCTTGTCAGTTTTAAAAATAGCAGTGTGGGAACCCCTCCGAGGCACCCTGGGAACGTAATTGGACTGGTGTTCGGCAGGCCTAGCTCAGAGGCAGCAGCTAACAGATGAAACCATTTTTCCGGCTGCGTCTTCCCGAGAGGTTTCCAGGTTTCTCCTGAGGAACTCTGCTCCTTGAGCTGGTCTCACCCCCGCCCCGTCCTTTCTCCCTCCCATGATTTTTGCTTCTCTGCCTCAGGAGACCGTGTCCACCGTTCCTCCCCGTTTCCCAGACGCGGTCTTGCAGAGGGAAACTGCAGCTTGCCTTGGAATTTCTCAGTCGGGAGAACCCTGTGGCTTCTCTAGAAAGTTTCTTTTAAAAATGATTGGTGCGAAGATATTTGTGCTATTTCTCCCTGCTCCACTGCCCTCCCTGGCAGGGGGAAATACACTTCCGCTGGCCCTAAATGAGAAGGAAATCGAATTAATGTAGATACGACTGAGAAGGAGTATCTTTAAAAGATTGAACCCCAGTAGTTGGTCCTATTAATGCCCAGAGATCTGCCATCTGGAACCCAAAGGGGGTTCCGAGGGCAGGGTGGGGCGCTTTCTCCGTTCCTGCTGGGAAACTGACTTAGCTAGGATGCGGGGAGTAGGACGCGGCCCTGCTGAGCTGTGCCTGAGCGGAGCTGCACCCGCGGCCCCCCACGGTTTTTGGGTGGTGTTTTAATTATTAGGGGGTTCTGGTGCCCCAGAAATGTCCTCTTCCCTATTAACAGTGAGAAATGCGATTTTGTGTCTGCGGACATGACCGAGACCTGTGCTTCTGGGGGCTGGTGTCACAATCTCTCCAGGTGTTAACCGGATAAAATCGACAGTTCCCTTTGTGTGGTGGTTGGCATAAACCAGAAACACTGCTTAACGGGGAAAAATGTGTTTAAAAAAGAATTGCCATTGACAAAAAGCAATTGGTGGGTTCTTTCTGTTCTCCGAGCTTGTTCGATGTCCCTTATCGGGAATGCCTTTCCCCGTTGCTCCCGAGAAGGCCCCTTTCAGGCTTATTGAATTGCAAATGCTGCCGGTGACACCCGACCCGGGAAGGGCTGGAGCTTTGCAAAGCCACCGGGCACCCCAGGGCGTGGGTCCCGGGAGGGGAGGGACTGAAGAAAGCCGGAAAGGTCGGGGCCGTTGAGTTTTGGCTCAGTGGGTACAGAATAGTAAGTGGCGCGAAGGGTTTCTGTGGATGCTCTGGGCTTTCTGAACAAAATCCGGGCTGGCGTGTGAGGGAGCCCCCGCCGCCACCCGCTCCTGGGCTGTGACCTCCCGCCGTCGGTCCCCGACCCCCCTCCTCCCCAGAGTCCTGTCTGCTCCAAGGCATTTCCGTTTGTGCTGTTCCTTCTGGAGAAGGCGATTTGTCCCCGGAAACAATGGCCGATTTTCCAGGACAGCTGATTTTCCTTGGGGAAGTGTCCGGAAAGGTGTTGCCCCTGAAAGGGGGAGGAAATCGTACGGGGCCCTCCCAGGCAGTTGTGCGAAGAAGCCGATGCAGACTCTCGTAGGAGATTGAGCTGGGATCAGCTTTCAGGAGCGAACCAGCTTCGGAGGCTCTTTTTGTTTGTTTCTTTCTTTCTTTTTAAATAAGGTAAATGGGGTCTCTGTTCTGCGGAAAGGGCCCCGGGCAGGAGAGAGTGGAGAACTTGCTGAACTTGGTGCGCTGGGGAGGCAGGTGTGATCTGCTGCCAGCCGGTGGCTGTTAATAGTCACTAATGAGCGAGCTCTGCAATCAGAAGTCACCTGGGTTTTATGTATTAAGCCCTTTGGGCAAATGGAAGAAAACACTTTATCTGCAGAGTGGCTCAGAGCTTCCCCTTAATAAGCTATTCGACTTTCCTTTAATTGACTTTGTTCTCAAAATACATGTGTGTCAGTCAGATTTGGCTTAGAGGGGACACTCTCAGAATGTCTAGTTGGAAAAGTGACCCTTGTGTATGGCCGGCCTGTAAACACCTCAGTTGTCAGCTCCTCAAAACCACCACCCCCCCGCCCCAGGAGGCTGTGCCTTGTGCGGTTCTAAGTTTGAAGTGGGTCTAACTCCTGTAGGAGGACTTACTGCCTGTGCCCCTGGGCCCAGTGCCCCAGAAGGGACGCTCACTGGTAGGGGAGGGGTGCAAGCTGGCCACGTTTTTTTTTAAAGAAAAGCAATAGGAAACAGACACATCGTAACTCTGATTGGTAGTAAGATATAAAACAGAAGCAGCTGCGGGTACTAAGTCCCAGATGCTACAGCTTGAGAGTGAGTGGCTGCTGCCAGAGGTGCTAGCTGTACTCATCCTGGTTTAAATAACAAATGAGCAGGGAAGAGATGAGGCGTGTCCCTTTCTTTCTCCTCCTTCGGTGACCAGTTTCATTTTAGATGATGTGCGAGGCTGGCATCTGGCCCTCTGCTTCCTTTTTTCAGATGCCTGTTGAGACTGGGAACAGGGCTGAGAGTCCCACTAGCCTGGTCTGGACTGTCACTCAGCCGGTGTGGGGTCCCAGCGCCTGGCCAAGCCCCGTGGCTGCAGAGGGGTTGGCTGTCCTGGGCCCAGGGCCCGGGAACCTGTCACTGTGGAGTTTCGCACTGGAAGGGGCAGCTCTTCAGCCCGGCCCAGGGACCGCTGCAGGCCGGCACCCCACACTCACACTCGACATCTTGTTTTCCATTAATTGGTCATTTAACAGAGTGCTAAGAAAACAAGCCATGTTAAGCTCATTTTTGTCTTACAGTAATTTAATGATTCATTCCTGATACTTGTTTCACTTGTTCCTAAGGGGTTCTTGGCTCCTTGAGGGTATTCATAAAACTCTTTACTTTCCTTCCCCCCACAACCCTCCACCCCTGCTGGGGTGCCCCCACCTCCACGAGGGGAGCTGCAGTGACTCCTGGTAGAGATGGGGTGGTCCCTGCTGGTCTCCTCCCACATCCGTCTGTCGTCCGTCTGCCTGAGTCTCCTCCAGGCTGTCTGTGCTCTGTGGGCTCCCCACCCCACTCCCAGCCCCCTGGGTCCCCAGCCCCCTGCAGGGCTCTCCCTCCGAGAGCCTTCCCTTCCCTGCTGCCTGTTTCTGCTCTGACTTCAGGCCCCCTGACTCTCCCACGGCCCCTGGACTTTCCCTTCAAATGACCTGGATGTCCAACTTCACTTCTTATTCTGGTGTAATTCCCCGTCTTCTGCCGTGGAAGGTGAGCACGCACCGGGGAGGCAGGGAAGGGGCCTCTTGGTCATCAGGCCTAACACGTCGTGGGTGTGCAGCAAACAGTTGTCGATGAAGGGAGCGGTTTAAGGGTAAGGTAAATGCTGGGAGTACTTATGTGCTGCTTCTAGACTGTAATGGTTTGTTTTATTCTTTTTTTTTTTTGAGACAGAGTCTCACTCTGTTGCTGGGTCTAGAGTGCTGTGGCGTCAGCCTAGCTCACAGCAACCTCAAACTCCCGGGCTCAAGTGATCCTCCTGCCTCAGCCTCCCAAGTAGCTGGGACTACAGGTGTGCCCCACCATGCCTGGCTAATTTTTTCTGTTTTTAGTTGTCTGCCTAATTTCTTTCTATTTTTAATAGAGACGGGGCCTTGCTCTTGCTGAGGCTGGTCTCGAACTCCTGACTTTGAGCAATCCTCCCGCCTCTGCCTCTCAGAGTGGTGGGATTACAGGTGTTTTAAATTTGGCTGTGAATGCGTTAACTTGGTTTTCACCAGCGGTTCTCACACTTGGGGCCATCCACTGTGGGGTGTTTAGTAGCACGCCTTGGTTGTGACAACCAGAATGTCAACATCTCCAGACATTGTCCAGTGTCTCCTGGGGGCAAAATCATCCCTAGTTGAGACCAGTGGGCTACACCTGGGGTCAGCTCTTGGGGACATGGGAGCTCACACTGTGTGCTCACGGGGGCTCAGCTCCCAGCTGTGGGGCTTGTGCTGTGGCAGGCATAGGGGCGGAGAGCTTTTGGTGAACAGCAGAACCCAGGGGCAGCTCCTGGCCTGCCGTCCTTCCTGCATGGGAAATGTTTTCCTAACTGCAGGAGGGGCTGTGGTCTCAAAGGGGAGGTCAGATCAGTAAGAAACGGATGCGTTCTCCGATCCTCTGGTGGGCTAGGGGCTTCCCTGCAGCCGCTCTGAGGTGGGAGCTGCAATCGGGTCCTGGGCAGGGGCTTGTGCTGGACGCCACATTCTGGGGGAGTCCCTTGGGGCTGCCCCAGCCTGCTGCCTGTGGCCTGTATGTGGACACGAAGCTGGTCAGTTCCCAGCTCCAGTGGTCGGGCCTCGCCCGGTGTGGCTTAGGGAGCTTGTTGTTATTGGAAAGCCCATCTCCACTCCAACCGGGAAACAAGGGCCAAGGCCTGGGAACCTGCATTCCAGCCAGCTTCCTGAGCGCTTTCCACCAAGTCCGTGTTTGACAGCCGCTGATCCGGATCCTCTGTGGCCAAGACGTGTCCTTGTGGGATTCAGCCTTTTACCCCAAATGCACTCGGAGACACTCGACCACTAATACAGACCTTTGCACTGGGATTCTAGTCTTTGAAAACTCTGCCTGCACTGGGGAAGTGGCCTGAGGCCAGGGGCTGGCAGGCTCTCTCCAGGAAGCGCTAGAGAGGATGCGGGCTAGGCTCTGCAGGCCACCGGGCCTCTGTTGGAACTACTCCTCTCTGCCTTGAAGAGCAAAAGCCGCCAAGGCCAACGTGTAAATGATTGGGTGAGACTGTCTTCCAGTAAAAGTTTATTTACACAAACAGGTGGCAGGCTGTAGGCAGCAGTTAGACACAGTAGCATTTGACCCAGCAATCCTACTCCTAGCGCACATCCAAAGGGATTGAAAGCAGGATTCTGAGGGATACTGTACACCAGTGTGCACAGATGTGTCTCATTGCTCACAAGAGATGAGTGGAAAAGCAGGGTGTAGTGTATTCACACAGTGGGGTGGTGCTCGGCCATAAAGAGGAAGAAGTTTTGATACACGCTACGTTACACATAGACCTTGAAAACGCGGTTTTAGTGAAATAAGGTAGACAAAGAAGGACAGATATTGTGTGATTCCACGTGTGTCAGGGACCTAGAACAGGCAAGTTCATAGAGGTGGAAAGCAGAAAACATGACACCCCGGACTGGGGAGAGGTGAAGGGTCAGCGTTTAATGGGTGCAGAGTGTGTGTTGGGGGTGATGGAGAAGTTTTGGGTGTAGACGGTGGTGGTGGTTACACAGCTTTGTGAAAGTATGTAGTGCCGTGGAAATTGTACCCTTCTGAAAGATTAAAATGATAAATACTGTGTTATGTAAATTTTATATTTTTAAAACAATGGTGGCTAGCTGGAGTTGGCCCCTGGCACACCCAGGCTTTAGCCTTGTTCTGTTCCGTTAGCGTGTGCGGTTGGATTCAGGAGTAACCGGGCCAGCCAGGGTACTAGGCTTAAACTGAGAAGGTGGCTGGTCCTGGGATGGGTAAGTAGTTAGAGCCTTTAGTCGATCGTACACTTCTCTTCCCCCATCCCGGGAGAGGGGCTGTCAGTGTGCACGTGCAGACTCGGAGAGCCTGAGCGCTGGCGGAGGCTGTCAGAATTTCTCTTCTCACTTCTGAGAACCCCAGGATGGACACACACGTGTGCCTGCGCAGCCTGCGGGCCGAGAGTCTGGGGGGCTCAGCATTTAAGGAGGTGACATTAAAGTGCGCCCCTCGCGTGCGTTTGAGTATTTTCCCGGCCACCTGGAGCCGGTCGTCTTCCGGTCAGGGTGCGCCGTGTTTGTGGCTGAGTGACCCCTGTGTGTGCCTCACACCTTTGGACTTTTTCAGGGAGCGCATGGAGCTTCTGGAAGAAGCCAAGAAGATGGAGATGGCCAAGTTTCGCTACATCCTGCCCGTGTACGGCATCTGCCGCGAGCCGGTCGGCCTGGTCATGGAGTACATGGAGACGGGCTCCCTGGAGAAGCTGCTGGCCTCCGAGCCACTGCCGTGGGATCTGCGCTTCCGCATCGTCCACGAGACCGCCGTGGGCATGAACTTCCTGCACTGCATGTCGCCCCCGCTCCTGCACCTGGACCTCAAGCCCGCCAACATCCTGCTGGACGCCCACTACCACGTCAAGGTGGGCCGCAGGCGGGTCTGTCTGCAGGGAGGGGGGTCCCCAGGGGTGGCGCTGAGGCCAGGACGGGGGCGGGAAAGGAGGCGGTTCTTCCGGGGGAAAGAACTTGAAGGCAAGGCCTTTCCCGAGTAAGAGCAGCAGGGATCTGAGCTCCTGGTGGTCGGTGTGATGCCATGTATCCCGGAGCTGGAGGACGGACCCGCGAACCCCGGGGCGCTCCGCCAAATCCTCACATGATGAATTCTGGAAAAAGAGATTATGGGCTTGTGGATTCCGTTCTTAATGTCTTATGAAATCGGGTTAGAAGTCGGACTGCGGACCAGATCCTTGTGGGACCTCAGGTTCCTCAGTGAGGGGACGTATTTCCCCTCAGTGGTTTCGGGGCTGGGGGTGGTGGGAACGTGGGGGGCGCTGCAGTGGGGCCCGCGGGGTGCCCTGGAAGGAGCCCTGCGTAGGAGAGTGTCGTGGGGCAGGATGTTGTATGATTGCAAGGCCTGGGAGCTTTGCATTTTTTTTTTTTTTGATAAATTTATAAGACAGAGAAAAGTGTGAGGGATAACATAACGAAAAACCGGCCCTTGCCGCCTGGCACGGGCAGATATTAACAGCGGCATTTCTGCACGAGGCTGTATTTCTCTGTTTCTCCCCTGGTGGCCTTTGTGTCTGGGCTTATACTGTCATCGATGCTGTAGGTGACACGTGGTTTTTCCCCATGTGGTGGTGTTTGCACACTCCCAGGACACCTGGGGTTACATGCTGGTCCACAAAGTGCGGTTGTGTTGACCTGGGAGTGAGAAGGAGCCCAGAGCCAGGGCCCGAATCATGTCCAGTTCATGTGGGCGAGCAGAGCAGTTGCCCCCTTGCTTTGGCCGGTTTGCCGTTCCTGGCTGCACAGCGCTTCCAGGCCTCTCTGTCGGCCTGACCATTAGTTAGGATAGATCCGGGTCCAGGCCCGGCCCTGCCCCAGTGCTCTTAGGGTCTGGGGAGCTGTGGCCCATGTGCCACGCACCTGGCTGTGCAGAGCACCTTGCGCAGCGGGCGGAGTGTGGTGGGTGATGGATATTTCACCTGGGACCGTGATTGTAAGTTGTCTCGTGGGTGGGTATTGCTCAGTGATCAGATTTTAGCTGGTAGGTGGAAGCGCCGTCCTGCTGAGTGAAGCGGGGACAAAAGTCCAGCGACTTGGCTTTGGGTCAGCCCTGGGGTGGCTTCTGGTGTCTGCTCACATCCTGGGAGCCTTGGGATTCCGGTTTCCTGGTGCTTGGCAGGGCTGGGCGTCACGTGTGATGCCTCCACCTGGGGCTGACACTTGCAGGGGTTCTTCCCAGGTGGCTCTGGTCCTGGGGACCCCACAAACAGTAAAGTCTCTGCCCTCCTACGTGTACTGCGCACCAGGAAGGGAAGTGGCGGCGGGTCCTGTGCGCCAGAGACTTCGCCTGCATGAGCTGCTCTCATCTTCATAGCAGAGGTGCAGGGTGGACGGCGGCCTCCAGTTCTTGCTAAGCTGGGGCTCGGGTTAGGTTAGCAGCCAGGGTCATCCCACCGTATGTCACGCGTAAGAGGCTGGAGCCCGATCCTGCCGGGCCGTTGATTAAACCAAATGACCCACGAGGGTGGAGCGAGTGGCCGGCGGGCAGATGCGGGGACAGCCCCTGGGATGGGGGTGGGGTTCTGGGGATGGGCCTTTAGATGGAGTCAGGAGTGGGGATGCAGGTGGGAGAAGAGCCTTTAGGGTGGAAGAAGCAGCCCGAGAAAAGTCTGGAAAACTCTGGGTCTTCATGCCGCGGAGGGAGAAGGCACAGCTGGATTAGAACGGAGGATATGAGGATGCCTTACCCTGTCTTTGAGGACTGCTGAGTTGGGAGGAGGCTCTTGGAACGTGCTTTTCCCGGGGAGACTGCTGTGGTGTGCGCACCGGGTACCGCCAGGCACGCAGGTGTGGTTGGACAGGTGTGTCTGCGGCCAGCGCCTGTCACCCAGCCTGGGGGTGAGCGGCCGGGAGGGGATAATACTCGTGTCTATGTCGTTGTGAGGGTCATTACGATAAAGCACTTAGTGCAGTGCCCGGCGCCTGGAAGTGCTCAGCAGGGCTTGGTGCCGTTGGTACTAGCAGATAATCTTTTCCACGTCGGGGATGTTGGTATTGCTTTGGGCGCCCTCTCAGCCCCCGACACACAGTAGGCACTTCCTGCCTGCCCAGTGCTGAAGTGAGTGTTGCTCTTAGACCGTCTTCACACCGTGGGCTCGCTTTCTTGCGTGTCATGTCCCCACTGAGTAGAGCCTCCTCCCTCTCCTCGGAAACGCCTGGCGTTGAAGGCCTGGCATGTGGCTGTCTTAGCAGTGAAGATCGCGTGGGGTTGGGTGTCAGTAGGGGGCTTGGGACGGCTACGGAGCGAGCTGCTGAAGCCCTGGTGGGAACTGTTCCAGTTTGACAGGAAGTGACACGCATCTGCGTGGCGCCCTGGGACACGATAGCGCCCCGTGTACCCTGGCGGGCCCTGGGAAAGCTTGTCTTGTGTGATGCCCTTCTTAATCAGGCGTGTTAGTCACCATCCAGAAGCACAAAAACAAACAGAAAAATGTATTTACATGTTTCTTTGATTCTTAGAAACAGCGCCTAGGGTGCATGGAGAGCGGCTGGGAGTGTGTGTTTGAGGTTCCAAGAGGCAGCGCTTTTGTTCCTAAAGACAAAACTTGGAAGCTTTGCTTAGTTGACAGTTATTTGGAGCAAGACGACTTTAATCTAGAATCTTGAGGTTAGGTACTAAGCCGCCGCTCCAGGCTAGCTACCTTTCTGTACCTAGCGTGATTGGAGTTGAAAATTTCACAGCAACCGCCTGCTTTGCAAACTATGTTAAATCTACTTAATAGTTGAGGCTAATACTTGATATTATTCAAGATTAAACACACTAAATATCAACATTAAAATATTGTGAGCAGTTTCAAGTTAACAATGAAACAACCTGGTGTAGAATCCCAGGCTGCGTTTATGCGCCCCGTCTGCCTGGACCAGACTGTATTCAGGGGGTCACGCGGCGGCGTCTTCCACTGCGTCTGACGGGCGGCTGGCTTGGTCCCGTCCGGCCAGACCCTGACGTCGAAGTGCTGTGTGCTGGGGGGTCAGGGACCCTCCCACGTTCTGAATTCCGAATTTGCATTTTGATGGCGGAGGTTTTACAGAGAATTTCTGCTTATTTTCTTCCCACCAAATATATTTTGGAGTGGCTGGCTGTATCTGACGGTGACAGAGAAAAGGTGAGATCTCCGCGTCCTAGTCCTTCTCGTTTCTGAATCTAAACCGTTTCAAGCTGCTGATAGTGGCGCTGAGACTTCCTCTGCGCGTGACTCGTTCTGCCTCCCGGCTTCGAGCTGCATTAGGGATGTGCAGGATCAGGGGTGGTTTTGCTCTGGGAACCTGTAGTTTGCTCACCGCAGTGGGGGTGTCTCTTGAGGGCTGCGCGGGTTCAAGGGCCACAGGACAGCCGAGGGCCACCCAGGGCCTGCGCCTCACCCTAGGGCGCCCGTCCCCACGAGCTTTCTTCCCCCACCCCCCTGCAGATGTGCTAGGAGCCCTGGGAGCCCAGTCACCGCCCTGTCGCTCAGCGGTGATGACGCCAGGCCCACTGGCTCACCTCGTGGGCATGGCCAGCCCAGACTAAAGGCCTGACTCAGCCCGGTTTCCTATTGCTCCCTAGGTGTGTTTGAGGAGAGGCCCAGGAGTTGATTAAAAGGCTTAAAAAAAAAATCCATAAGCCCAGAAGGAGAATAGAGGCCGTTTTCCATGTGGACTGGGGGTTCTATCAATGCTAACAAGCTGTGGCTTCATCCCATGAGATCTCTTTACACCGGATGCTGGTGGGGAAGGGGGAAGGGGTTTCCCCCCACAGAGGCCTGCCGGGTTAGCCCGGGCTCTGTGGAGGCCCCAGCTGTGGGCTTAAGTGAGCTTTAGGGACGCCTTAGAGGAGACCTGCCTCCCGCAGAGGTGGGGGCTGGCGTCGGCTCTCCTGGAGCGGTGGGCCCTGCCGACAGGGTGTTTATCAGACCTTTACTCAAACCACACACGTTCGGTGAAGGAACCAGCCAGCGTCTGCCCATCACAAGCGTTCTGGGTGGAAGAGGCTGCACACCCTGCGCGGTGTGTGTTTTGTTTGCTTTGAAGGGCCTCTGCAGGGTGTTCCCTTTAAAGGACTTGCTGCCGCCTGCCCGCCTCCCCAGCTGGCCGGTTGCGTCACCGGATCCCTTGGCAGGCACACCTGATTGTCACGTGTCTCCCTTTACCTGACATTCTGAGAGTTGCTTTTCCCTTTGTGCCGTCTCCGGCTGTCAGCCGCAGTGGCAAACGTGATGTCTTACAGAAGTAAGTTTATAATCCTTGAGTCCTCTCTCCCAGCCAGTTCCTTCCTTAAAGCGTTCTTTTCTCCTCCACCCATCAGTCAACCACGTTGCTCTTAATGCCTCCAGTCTTGGTTCTGCCCCAGCCATCGGGCCTGCCTGCCTGGGACGGGGCTGCCTGGAGAGGCACCTGGACCCACTGCGCCACCTGAGGTTGCAGAGGGGCACTTTTGATAAAGTGTCGTACAGTGTCAACCCGTGAGGCCTGGCGAGGCAACACTGATGGTTCTGACTGCTGTGTTGCAGATTTCCGACTTCGGGCTGGCCAAGTGCAACGGGCTGTCCCACTCGCACGACCTCAGCATGGACGGCCTGTTCGGCACAATCGCCTACCTCCCGCCAGAGCGCATCCGAGAGAAGAGCCGGCTCTTTGACACCAAGCACGACGTGTACAGGTGTGTGACGGGCCCCCCACCCTCCGTCCCCCTGCGGCGGGGCTGGGAGCTCTGAACCCCGATGCTTCGTGCCCTGAGTGGCAACTTTCAGAAAGGCCTTCTGTGCCAGTGAGACATGGGTTCAGTCCACGTGGACGGGGTGTGCGCTTGTTGGGTTTGGGGTTTTAGCCAGCGGTACAGGCTGCCCCAGGGATGCAGGAGACGTTTCTTTCTTGTGAGTGTTGCTGGCCGAGGACGAAGAGTGTTCGTGACTGGTGCCAGTTACAGCCAGTTACAACTAGACCGACAGCCCTGCCCCGTCAAGGCCTTGGCATTTTTATGAAATGTGGGTTTATTGCTCGGCTGTTGGGAGAACCTGCTGCTCTACATGGTCCGCGTGTCTGTGCGCACGTGGATTTGGGCTCCAGAATTCACTCTGATTTTGTGGCGTGAGCAGCTTACGCCTCCCGGTGTCACTTCCCTTTGATGAGGAACATGGGCGGGAGAGGCTGCTCAGAAACTAACGTCAGTTAGGTTGTGTGTGCCTGGGTGACAGTCCCCAGGTCACTTGGTCCCTTCCTTTTTCAAATTGTGATGGTCTCAGTCACACAGACTTCTTGGAGAGGAAAAGACGGAGGGGAGTGTGGGTGCATTTCAGCCTCCTCCCGGCTCGGGTCCTGTGCGCTGTGACTCTGACCGAGCCCCGGAGCACTTGCTCTCCGCCTTTTTGTCGCCGCCTGCGGTCCTGGCCGACTGGCCCACAGCCGCCCTTGTGCGTGCTTAGCCTGCCTTGGAGCAGCGCGCCCGCTGGGGAACGGCACCTCGGGGACTAGTCACAGCTTGCAGAGTTCAGGGAGAATGAGATAACTCCCCGTTTATTTTAGGGTTGGGAGTTTCAACTTTTGAACTTGCAGATTTCAATTAATTTTCAGTGGTGGATTCTTATGTATCGATAAACAGCCACTGTCATCAGCGCGGTGCTCCATGGTGGCTCAGGTTTTGAACTCCTGGTTTTTTTGGTTTTGCTTTTAAAAAATTTAGGCCGGGCGTGGTGGCTCACGCCTGTAATCCTAGCTCGCTCGGAGGCCGAGGCAGGTGGATTGTTTGAGCTCAGGAGTTCGAAACCAGCCTGAGCAAGAGCGAGACCCCGTCTCTACTAAAAATAGAAAGAAATTA